CTCCTTAATATGAAAAACAAAATTTCAAAACTTATGATGCTGTATTTTTATTTCTTTTTACCAGCAGTAAATGTATATGGTACAGCAAGCAAAAATGATAGAAACCAAACAATCATTATCATTTTAAGTGCACGACTTAAATTACCAAGTACTTTTTGAAATACAATTGGAAAACAAATAGCTAAATAACGTTCAATTGTAAAACATAAAACTGTTAATATTGATGCTGATGTTACAATTTCAAGAACAACTGTACGAAATACACAAAATGTTTCACCAAATATCCTAAAAAAAAAATAATTATATATAACCATTATCAATTTTATTTTCTATACCATGGCCATGATTCATAAATATTGTACATTTCAACAGATAGACCTATAAATTAATAGAATTGATTTTTTTTTTCATAAAATTAACATAAATTTAAATTTAGGTTTTTGAGTTTTTTTTTTCTCTAGCAATATCCATTGAGAGATCTATTATCGATGTAATAGGCTATGTATAATAGACTTATTTCCTAAATGGTTAGAATAATGATAATGTGTAAATAAAAAAAAAAAAAAGGAAACATTAAAACAAACAAAAATCAGTAAAAAAAAGAAGACTCAATTCAAACTCTAGAAAGATAGATCATTTCCCTGATGATCGATTATCCTTGAAAAGACAACTATAGATTTTTCACTTTGCTTATTTTATTTTATTTTATTTTTTGTTGATTAGCATAATAAGACTAAAGAAAACACTTGTGAGTTCTACATTGTCACTCTCTTGAGACTCAATTGACAAGTTTTTTTTTTAATCAATATTGACATTTGTATATGGTGAAATATCAATCTTATTATTAAATTAGAAAAGTATATCAATCATTTTAAGATCTTCTATCATTTTTAATTTAAAAATTAATTTAAGAGAATAAAAAAAAAAAAAAAATTATTTCTCAGTGAATAAAATATAATTGATACGAAATAAGATAAAAGTTGACACTTCTATTTGATGACAACTGATGATATGAATAATCTTTGAAAGATCTTATCAACAACAAACAAACAAAATATTTACCAAGACTAATTAATAGTAAATCGGAAACAGCCAGAGAAAAAAGATAAAAATTCGTAGGTGTATGCATATCTCGGCTTTTCCATATTGTAATACATGTGCCTAAAAAAAAAAATAAAAATATATTTTGTTTTTTTTTTCTTTTTTATTTTATTTTAAATAAATATTTAACTTACAAAGATTTCCTGTAAGTCCTGTAGCAAATATAAATGCATAAAGTGACATAAGTATTGGAAAAGCAAATTTATTTCGTCGTCGATGTCCAAGAAAATTAACAACACTTTTACTAAGTTCATCTTCTTCAATAAATGTTAAATTAAAATCTTTAGGTAATATATCAAGAGATCCACTCATTGAAAATAATCATTGGAAATTTAAATATTATCTTAAAAAAATATAATTCATATAAAATAATTTGCTTATTTTCTTAGAGTTTTTTTTTTTTTTCTTTTTTTTATACTTACATTAAGAATAAGGCTATTTTCTCAGTTCTGTGTCAATCCATATCGCTTGTTTTTCTTTCTCTTTTTTTTTAGCAAATGTTTCTCGAACGAACAATGTCATATAGACAGTTCTGATGACATAAATTATACTATTCACAGTTTCTCGTTCTTATATTTTTGTGTTTCTCGTTTCCTATTAACGTTATGTATAGCTTTGCCATCTGTTGTTTTCTTTATGTTTACCAAAATTCGCAAGTGCTACAGAATCTAATAATTCAGACAAACAACAAAACAAACTATTTCATACACAATATCTTTTCTCTTCTGTTTTTTATAATATTTATACATATAAATCAATTCCTATTTAATTGATAGTATATAAATAAACTATGATAAAGAAGTCCAATCAAAACACTTTGGTGGAAATATCAATCATACATTATATTCAATTATTAAATAACAATTACATTTGCTTCTTTTTTTTTTAGAGAGTGTCTGACGAAGAAATATTACATTGTATATTCTCGTTAGTCGAAGTCCTTAAAGAAATTAAGTTCATTGAAACAGAAAAGAAAAAACACTTTTCTATTTCTTTCTAACATTTATAAAATTATTCAAGCAATAAATTTCATATTTTTTTTTCCTTATATAAGATAATTATACTGATCATAATAACAATAAAATAACGCATGATTAATTCTATTCTATCTACAAAATGCATAGCCTAGATTTGTTCACTCGGAATGAATGTCAATCATAAACACACACACACACACACATATCCGCAAGAAAAATAATAATAATAATTTCTATACTTAAGTTCAACTCGATTGCTTAGACATATAGATATATAATCAATTATATTTTGAAATTGTTTCATTCAAAATTACAATTGAATATATGTAGAAATAAATTATTTTGAATATTTTATTAAAAAAAAAAATAAGGATCATCTAAAAAAAATTTATATTCGCATACTGACATTGATTAACATAAGATGAGAAAGATTATTTCTTAGTTAATATGTAAATTTTTCTTAAGAAGAGTGGAGTCAACAATTCTTATCGCTAATACAATTAGGCCGTAGTCTCTAATATATATATATATATGGATGCGATAAGAAAAAAAAATCTCGATTATTTAAACATCTAGTCTAAGCTTATAGTTAAAAAAAAATGAACTATTTTATTTTGATAATAACAAAAAAAAAATTAATTATCTATCTATTTTCAATCTTATATTCTTAATTCAATGTCTTCTATATGCTTAAAGGAATAAACTATCAAAAAGCTTTTACTTTGAAAGATACTAACGACGACTGAATATATATATATATATATATATATCAAGAGATAAGACTTTCTTTTTTATTAACAGTATATAATCTAATAAAGATGTTATGAGTCACTTCACTTCACTAGTTAAATACGATGTCAAAGAGTCAAAGAGAAAAAAAAAATGCCGAGTATCTTCTCTGCTTTTCTAGGTAGTTATACACAGCAATAGATGTCTTTTCTTTTTTTTTTTCTCCTTTCATTTGATGTTGTTTTCTCTTATCAGTTCAATTAGTAGAGTTCTCAAACAAAATAAGATCTGTCAACAAATGTTGATAAATAGTTGAAAAGAAAAACATGATTTTTTTTTTGCTAAGTTATGCATAACAAAACAAAATAGAAAGAAAATCAGTTTTGTCAACACATCATATAAGAAAAATAAACTAATACAATACATTTTCTCAATATGCATTATGCGATATTATACAGCTATCAATATAGAAGAACAAATGCGAAATAAGTTATTGTCATATATGTGTCAATTATTTTTTACATGGAAATTATTCTATGATAATGTCATCGGTTTATAGGATATGTCGAAGTGTATGAAAATTATCTTTAACAATAGAAATTTCGAACTATATGAAGAGTTTTTGTTTTTTGTTTTTTTTTGCTTTAGAGGGAATGTAGATTTTTGTTTAATGTACATACCAATGACATTTGATAGAATCAATGGTTATTTTAGCTAATTGATTTTGAATTTTTTTTTTAAATAATGATTATAAGATTAGAATTCATCGAGAATGTGTCTTATTGTGTATCTAGGACTTTTCTTTCCAAGATATACCTAAGGCATGAAATCAATTATATTCAGTTAGCATGTTTGATGTCTTCTCCATTATAGAGTAATCCCGAATTCCATTTACACTATGAATAAATGACTTGAGACACATTTACTTGGTCTAATTTTATGTTATATATATATATATAAAAAATTATTTTTTTTTTTGTTTTAACACGACTGACATTTCTAACTCTGAAAACTTCACACTAAATGTTGAATGTGTTAATCAAGAAAAAGTTTAATACATGAGGATTTTTCTAACAGGTATGAGAACAAATCAGAAGTGCATTTGTATGAGCGATTATATAAATGTTGCAGTAACATTTTTATACGTTGAATAGAGATAAAAACGCAGTAAATTGAACTACAAGTTGATAGCTAATAAAAGCATTTTTTTTATTATTGCCGTATTGTTCTTTTTGTCGAATATCAAAATTTTGAGCAAAAAAAAAATCGAGGCTTTTGGCTTTTTTTCTGTCTCATTACACGTGTTTTTGCCGGTTGTGCGACTTCCGGGACAACGCTCAACGTTATAAATAGATACATTCATAAACATGGAATATTGTTATTAGACTATCGACTATTATTAATATTAATGATACATATCGGATATATTTCAATCTTGAAAAGGTCTAAGAAACGATCGAAGCATTATCTCGAAAAGAACTATTTCAATAAATAAGGCATCTAATAATCAGATGATTCATATGACAACGCATGAATTGAATAGTTAAGAATATTTTTAAAGAGATTTATATTTATGGATGGTGATTGTTTTTCTTTTGGTTCACTTTGAAAATGGCGACAATGTCTTAAGTTTTTTTGAATATGTTGATCACTTGATATTTTGGATTATTCTAGTATCATCAAAACAACAACTTGCTTATATAGTTTTATTAGTAAAAATTCAATCCTTCGACTTGTTTACTTATTGAAGACATTTGAGTCATACAATTCGATTATAAATAAGTATTTTTTTCCATAGATTTTTTTGTCAACACTCATTTTGCTACATGAATGTACAAATCATTGACTAACAGATCATATTCAACTGTATTTATAGAGCAAGTATGGCTATATGAAAACAAACTGATTTCAATATACATTGAATTTGATAATTTACTGTAAATAAAAAAAAAACAAAAAAACAATAACATAAATGTCAAAATTTATTGAATAGATGAAATATTTTTTACAGAAAGTATATAAGGAAAGCATCAACATCGATTGTTAAATCAAGCGACTTTAAAAATAAATACAATTTTATACAATATTTTAGAGGATTTACAACTAAAAACAAACATTGAAAATAATTATAATATGATCGAAAAGAAAAAAAAAGTCGAGAATGTTTTATAATTACATATGATAATGAAATGATTATCTTTCAGTAAAGTGACTTTTTGGCATATGCTTTTCAATAGCATGAATGAGAGCTAATACAGGTGTTTGTTCTTCACCTACGAGTAAACGTGTTGTCATATCATGAACCTTCTTTAAATGACTTTTGCTAACTTTTATCATTTCTAATGTATCACCTGCAGTAAAATTTATATAAAGAAGACGTTTCCATTGTTCTTTGGTTAAACCTTTTTCAATAACAATTTGTTGGATTTTATCATCAAGAAGACTATTACCAGTAATTCCTTTATTTCGTTTTAGATGATCTCCAACATGATCATGCCAATTATGTTTAGATTGAAGTTCAGGTATAATAACAGTATGTTTAAATAGATCAACAAGTTGAGAAACAAATTCAATATAATCACTAAGTTCAACTTCTACTGATTGTTTATCTGCTTCACGTTCAAGTTCTTCTATTTCACCTATGAAATCATATTGATGCTTTCGAATTGCAGCACTATGATTTTCCTTGTTAATAGTTACTTTTGTTGTTGGTAATGAATCTTTCGACATATGAGTTTTATGCTCGTTATTCGACGATGCATGAGATATATGGCGTACTTTTTTTGACATTTCAAGGATATTGAGTTTTAAATCTAAAATTAGTCTGAAACAAAAAGTAGGTCAACATTGTGTGTGTGTGCGATCGACCCTTTGTCCACAGCTATAGATTGTCAATTCTCACGTACACAGAATATTAGTAAATATACAAAGATACTTTAGTGAGACTATTAGAAGTCTAAATGGGTTTTTACCTATGGACATTTGAAGTCTAGTTAAGATCGATTTGCTAAATTTTCAACTTGACACACTCAAAAACGAAAATTTTGATGAATTCGTTATTTCGACAAAATTCAACCTATGTATGGGCAAAACATCACATTGAAATTTAGTACAACGATCCTAAATCGACTTTGAAAACTCATGGGAATGAGTCCTATCAGATTTTCTTCTAGTCCTACTAAAGCCTTCTTGTGAGTCGAATGTCAATCAAAAAAAAAAAGAACAAAAATTGAAAAACAATGCAAAATTTTTCTTTTTATTTTGCATGAAACATCTTGAAGTAAAAACATAGAAAAGCATTGGATAAAAAAAAACTCTTGTCTGTCAGAATTCTAAGATTTTTCTTTTTTAATTTGATACATCCTAATTAGTTTATCTTTTTAATTTAACAATCACACAGTATTGTGTTCAGAATTAAATTCTACATCTGACAACACGAGAATGACAGTTCTTATATTAAGTCTCTTTTAGAAAAACATGTTGTTTCAAAATAATTGAAAAAATATCAGTGAATATTATTAGTTCCAAGCATTTTTCTTATGAAAATTTATATACTGCGTAATAAATTATTTATCTTCACCAGATTTCAGATACTTAATGTTATTAAATCTCAAGTTCTATTTGAAATTCTACATAATTGAGTTTTTCTTTTCTTAACTTACTTTTCATTATATGATGTATACATGCCACTTCATTTATTTTGAACTCGATCTTCAATTTGTTCTTTGTTTTCTTACAAAAAAAAAAAAAAAACAAAACTAAGAATACACTCGAGTCAAGTATTTCCGATACAATATAATTCTACAATCTAGAACAATATTTGTAAGGATCTATAGAGAGAAGATAGATACATTTCTCGAACTTTTTGTTAGTTTAAATAATTTTACAAATGTCATTCTGACAAATTCCTATGACAATTATTTATTATAAATTGATTTGAATGAAAATTCTTCTTACTCTTAGTTGTAGATATTACACAGGATAAACTTTATTGTTCAATTAGAAAAAAAGTATATAAAAATTTTAGACCATAGATGAAATATCAAAAAAATTATATATATGTGTCATCATTGCATTTCTATTATTTAGAAAGAAAAAAAAGGAAAGATTAACTGTCATATTTTGAAATGACTTATATTTAATTGAGCAATAAAAAATACAGAATGAGCAATAATCAAATTTAGCGATAAATATATAGAATGAGCAATATATATATAGAATGAGCAATATATATATTGAATAAGCAATATATATATTGAATGAGCAATAATTAGATGGAATGAGCAATAATTCCATGAAATGAGCAATAATTAATTAAAATGAAGCGTAAAATGTATATAAAAGGGCAATAATAACTCGTTTTTTTACAACAACAAACGTTTTCTTATCCTCATGAAATTTATATATAACTTTTATACATCACTCAAGCACAACTCATAGCACACTATTTTCTGATTCTTGGGTGTGGGTGTGGGTGTTAAACTACAATGAACCCACACCCACACCCACCCACACCCAAGATCCGAGGTTTTCTATTGTGTCTAATCCCAAAAGTTTTCCAGAGGGTCTTGGGTAATGTCTCTTTTCTTTCTACAGATTGCAACTAAAAAAATTGTTCAGAAAGCCAAAGCGATTTTGATGCTTTGAGAAGGAATTTTTCGGATTTTAAAAGCCTAGATAAAAGGTTGAAAACACTTAGTTAAATTTTGTAGCTGAAAACTCTGAAAACTAAGCATATTATGATGTAAATCCAGTGGTTGAAGTTGTCATTTTTCGAAAAATTTGATAATTGAATAAAGTCTTATACTAAGTCTCGCACGTATTTCTCCAAGGGGGTCTTCTATTATGGAAAGCCTTCTAATATAGGGACCTCCTATCGGAAGAGAAGGGTATGCTGTTTTGAGAAAAAAGAAAATAGTCGTTCGTATAGAGACTGGCATGGCTACCGTGACTCACGGTCACGGTCACGATGGCAACGGTCGTGACCGTGACCGTACCCGTGACCAAACTGATCGTGACCGTGACGTGACCGTGACCAAAAAATGTTGATCACGCCGATGTCTACCCCACACCCAGACCCTCCCACACCCACACCCACACCCATTTTTCTTTTTTGTTTCTTGTAAATTATAAATAAAAATAATTCACTTCTATCTTTTTTTGTTGCTCAAATATGAAATTAATATTGTTATATAATAAATTATTTATTGCTCATTTAATGTCAAAATATTGCTCATTTAATATCATAATATTGCTCATTTTATATTATAATATTACTCAAATAAACATTTTTTATTGCTCAAAAATTATTGCTAAATCATGT